AGAAATATGTTGTAAGGTATTGTAAGGTATTTTATTTACCAGTGAAAGGTAGTAACTATTAAACTGCACCTGAGACTATCCAGTTGTTCTGAACAGAAGAAACTAATACATTCAGTTGAAACTGCAAAGAATTAGGGTGGCAGATGGTAATTACTAATACTGGAAGTAAGACTGGGTAAATGTGGTTAGATCTTCAGTTTAATGTCTCATCTATGAGGTGTTGCATTCATGACATAAAACTCTTCTGCGTTTGTATGGGAACGTGGCTCATTATGGACACATTAGAGATAAAAATAACAACTTTTCTTGTACCTTTCTTTTCCAAGAAAAGACTTGATTAAGCCATGAGATAACAATAGACCAGAATGGCATGTGTATCACCAGATGAAAGGCCCTTTCCATATGCCTGTACAATGTCAGAGACAAAAGTCTGATTTCCATTTTATTATTTTTTCAGATTTTTACTGATGAAGTGATGGCTATTTACTTGACACTTTATTCCCCAGTATTAAGAACATGAGACACAAAGTTGAATACATGAGTCTGATCCTGAGTTTGTGAATGTGGAAAATAGAGAAAGAGGGACTGTAAGGTAAATAAATAAATTCAGTTTGAGATGTGAAGTTTTACAAGTCCCCTGCAACTTAAGAAACTCCAGCAACCCAAGCAAAATGACCCTTCTAACATATGCTATTCCTGCCCTTTCATTAGAAACAACCAAGTGAAGGAGAATGAAGGCCAGTTACACGTGCTATTTGACAACTTCAAAGCACTAACCACTACAATAATACATACAATACTCCACTTGCATATATTGGACACCAAAAAACACAGTTTTCAAAGTGGTTATGTAAGTAAAACCACTAGATTCTGAAATCATGCTCTCTGTTTTCTGTTATACTATTTAAAACTTTCCCGGTAATAAACTTGGCCTGCTTTTAAATAATGAAAGGCATTGCAAAAAAAATACTGGTATGTTGCTTTTAATATTACTGCCCATGCATTATACTCATGTCTGCAGATTAAAAATTTGTTGCTAAAAGTTGCTAAAAGACACTGAAAGAAAATTATCTACTCACAAATATGATATTTCTCTGCACTAATCATAAGATGCCAAAACATTTTATTTGTATATTCCTTTTATATAAAATTATTGATCTAAATGTTGTAGTCATAGCAGTATGATTGGATGGCCAGGACAAGTTACAAGTCTGAAGTAAAAAAGAAAGGATTGTTATCATTCTCTTTGCTCTGTCTTGTTGCCCATTTCACAAAGTCATTCTCATACTAGCAGGATATAATTGTTCTGAACTGTAATATTTAGTCCACCCACCAAGTCTGAGACCAGTGTCACTATAAAACCATCTTTAAAGGAGCGTTCCCAGAATCCCAAATTGTGGTAGATATTAAACAGCTTCACCAAGTTTTCACTTTTTAAATGAAAATCATTTTTCTGTGTACTGAAGACTGTTTGTTTAGAATGGTTATAAAAACTGTAAAATTATGTGCAACTGAGTGGGAAATGATCCCATAAGTGTGGGATGTTTAATTATCTATCAAGAGGAAATTACACTGGTTTTGTTTTTCCCTTTATGCAAAGGTTTGTTTAACCACTTCAAACCCTGAGCCATCTACTATTTCTGCAATTTTCAGGTTTACTTTATTAAACGTGTTTTTACCTCTTCCTCTAAAACTCTTCAAATCCTTACTGCTTCTATGATTTACTCCGCTATAGAGTTAACACATTCTTCCCAAGACTGGTTTTTTTACCTGAGACAACTAAGTCAGATTTCAATGTTCTAAGCATTAGGCCCAATGTCTTAGGTAGTTTCCTGCTTGTTTCCCTGAATCTCGAATGGAAAATTAGGGATGTTTTTCAGTAATAAAGCAATTATTCTGGAAAGAAACTTGTCCAGAAGTACAGACTACATATATATTTGCAGAGTTCACCATTATTCTTCTAACCTACCAGCCTTTAGGTTCTGATGTTATACTCTGAACTGTTACCAAAAAAAATCCCAAAACTTAATTAAAAAATTTACTTGCAGAACAAAAATATCCGGGTCCAAAAATTATAGTAATGAACTAACTTTACAAATGCATGTTGGGAGCAGAACTTACAACTGACCCTAAGAAAACTATTCCATACCATGTTCAGTGAAGGAGAATGTGTACAATGGGTAATTGCTATTAAGATTTGTATGCTTTTAGAGGACATCACTTACAGAATTAACTTGCAAGCTCTTCAGAGAGCCATGAATTTTTCCACCAAATTATGATTTAAATAGATCAGAGTAATATTGGGGAAGTAACACTCATAGCCACTAGATAAGAAAATACATCATGTTGTTTTTCAATACCACTCTTTACTGTTTATTGAAAGCAATACTGTTCCAGTAGGCCTTTCCTGACTCAATTAAAGAGATCAGTTACAAAACGAGTGGTCTCAGACATTTTCAAAAGGTGAAAAAATGCAAGATATATGAAAACATTCCTCCTATTTCCAGATATTTTCAAATATTACTTACTATTTTCATCAAGAGAAAATACGTACCTTAGCTAAGTGTCTCAAGATTCTGAAGGAAAGTCAAGTGTATAGTATGTCGTGTACTACTCATAATGTTAGATCGGTACTCATTGGAATGTGTCATGGCAATTTTGACATTCATTTTTAAAGGTACTTTTCAATGCAGTAAGAAGACAAAACTTTATATCCTTCAATTTAAACTGAATACATTCATCAATTCTTTTTTTTATAAAAATGACGGAATAATAGTTGTAGTAAATACTTAAAGAGATCTCACTGGTTTTTTAAGATCTTACAGAAACCATAGTACCTCAGAGGAGCTTAGGTACTAGAAATGTTTAAAATCAATCCTTAAAAGCAATCACTATAAACCGCTATGAAACTTACATACAATAAAAAGAAAAATTTCCTAAGCAAAATCTGAATTCTTGAATTCAAATGTTGACAATGTATTTCTGGAGTACAGAACATCCCTCTTCCCATCCCACTTTTCATTGCTCTTATAAAAAATGCCACAGTGTTATGAAAACATGTTTTAAAAATTCTTAAGGGAAAAGTTTCCTAGGGTCTTTGAAATTCCTCCTTTCCCTATTTCTTTACAGATTTCTAACACCAACACTGTTCCTGTCGTTTCTCAAAAAAGGTAAAAATAAAAATAACCTCTAGGTATAATCTTTAGATTTTCTATTATACTTCTCAAATTCCTTTTGGTTTTGTAACAAATGCAAGCTGAAATCTACATTTATATTACTGACTGTATTTTAATTTCAGTTAATCTTGCAGCATGAAGAAGTAGATGGTGTTTGACCGCACTATTGCCCATACTTAGAAGAATCATATAGGGATGTGATTTAATTAATTAAATAACCTGAAAATATTTTCAGTTTCATCAATTTTTGTCTACTTTTTTTTTTAATTTAACTGTAGGCACCAAAAAAAGAAAAAAAGGCTTTGCTTCAGGTTCCTATCTCTATAATAAAAAGCATGAGGCAACGAGCTACCACCTCTCTATATGAAAAATTTACTGCAACTGCCCCATCTCCACTTCTCTCCTTTTAAGCAAATATTTGAATACAATTATTCCAAGCTAGGGATTCCATAATTTTCACAGAAAAATCAAGCTGGATTTTAGAATACTTTTGACATGATAATTTTGATCAAGCAGTTAAACTTTTGGCCATGGATGAGTCAAGCTGTTCGGAGATATGGAATCATATTACTGGCAGGGTAAAAAAATAATCTTTGAGCTAGTCTGTTTACTTTAACAGACCTAATTATGAAATCAAGTGTTATTCCACCACCTAATTCCTAAAGGAAGAGCTATATGGCCCAGGATCATTTTCCATCACACAAGCGATGAGGGATATCAGTTCAAATTATGTCCCCTGCAAGTATGTGTTTTCCTGTAGTTTTATTTCATTGTTGTCCTTGGCTCTTCCTCCATCATCTCTAAGATCATTCTTGCTATGTAGAATTATAGTAAGAAAACAACAGAACTTTTCATGTAATCCTAGCCAAGAGTTACTCTACAAACTACACTCTGGGAAGCACTAAGAATTGTCCAGCATCAGAATCAGAAAATCTACTCAGCACAATCATCTCTGTTATTCCTAGAAACAAGAATTGTGAATTTTTCCTTGCATTTCAGCCTGATGTGTGTCAAGATTTTGAGGTTTTTGATTGCTCTGCTGCGTATTCTTTGCTTAAGAAACACCTCTGCTTACTACTGGTGGTAGTGAAAGGTCATGGACGCTACGCCACAAGTTTCTGTTGTGTGTAGCATCCCTACACTGCTTGCACCAATTTGAAAAAGCATGGTCTGTATTTAAAATGCTCTTACAAATATTGTTTGGCAACTGGTAAGTACTATATCCTTCTTTAAGAATTAATATCCACAAAATTATGATAGGTGTCAATACCTTGTTCTTAAAGTACTTATTGTATTCAACACAAGCACTATTATGGACGTCTTCGAGCAAAAAGATTTGTGAAAAGGCATATGACCTTCTTCCCACTACAATGGCCATCTCCTAATTAAGCAATGCATCTGATAGTCATTAACAGGAATGAGATAATGAATCACTTTCTAATTCTTTGCTAATTTGCTGTAACCAAGCGGCTAATGGATGTCAGAGCTGAGTGATTGCACTGATTATAGTGATTTATAGTTGCAACAAAACAATTTAAAACCATTCTGATTATTCATGTTAAAGATGCTTTATGTTTTGTTTACTAAATGTTTTATGTTCCCCCTCATGCCCCTCTACACAGAATGAGACAGGTCTTCCTGGAAAACTTGAAAGTTCTAAGATTTTTTTTATTGTTTCAGAGTAAGGCATTTCATTTTGTTTATAAAAAAAAAAGTTTACCCAGTAGAAATGAAAAGCCTTAGGGTGGAAAGAAAACTTCAGTGGTGCCTAGTTCAAAAGAAGAAGGAAATAAGAGGAAATAAGGCAAACTTCAAGCCACTTACCTTAGGGCTCCCAGTCCCTTCCTCATTCTCTGCAGACACATCAGTAGCCAGTATTTCTGCTTTGATGATATCCAGAGCCCTAAGAATCCAGCTGTGTTGCCGTTTGATTTGCTTCTGTAGTTCTTTCCACTGACTTGCAATCATCTGCAGCATGTCCTTCAGTCCTTCTCCACAATGAAGGGGTAAAAAGTAAAAGCTGTAAACTCAACAGCATCTTTAAATATTATCCTTTATTCAAATAATAAGCAGGATATTTAAAATAATAAATGCAACAAGAATTTTAGTGTGTTTTCTCAGCAGTAAATCCAAGCATTACTGTTGTTCAGACTGCAAAACAGGGCTATAGGGTCAAACATTTCTTTTAGCCATCATGGTAAATTTTGATAATGCTTCAGCTGACAGTTTCAAGAGAAAAATTCCACATAAACTGTCATTCCCCTGGCAGTAGGGAATACTGGTAATCTTCCCCTCTAATATCTAGTCTTTATCTTGAAACATTTCGTAATCTTCCAAACACATTTTTCTTGCCTCCAACTCCTTTAAATATTTTCTGTAGTTTACACATTACCTATTTTTATGTCTATGGTGACATGCACTACTCTTTGCTTTGGCTATCTTTTTAGAACTATACATACAAGTCAGTAATTTCTTATAGCTTCCCTTTACACAGACCTGTCTGATCTGTGAAACAAGAGGCACACATATAACATAATCAGAAAACAGTAGACCAAAGAATAACTTCAACCTGGATGAAGATGATGCTATGTGGGCCAAAATTAAGATGGCATTCCATAGCAGTATATGCTGATTAAAACCCTATTATCAGACAAGTCACGCAAACATCTAAAAATATAGGAGGTGGTAAGGATAAAGGGAAATCAGTACATCTGTCTCCCTCCTCTACATTTAAGGCCTCTGCAAAAAAAGACATACCTAACCAAAAGAAAAAGATATTTTTAATTTTAATCTAGTGCTCATAAATATATTTAAATCAATGTAAGAATTAGTTTAAGTGGTAAAATAAAGCTTTACCAATGCAATTACCCATGCAGAGTATGTAAATACATACATATATATTTGAAATACTAATTCATTATCTTAATGTTATTTCCACAGCACCTATATCAAAGAATATGTCAGTGTGAAGTTTTCAGTGATGTGATTTCAATTGAAACTCAGCTGAACAGCAAGACCAAAATAAAATGAACAGACTATTTGCAGGCAGTATTTCATTTTATAAGTATCACTGCATTGTATGCAGTATATGAAACATTTATAAATCTTGAAGGTCAATCTGATAATGTAAATATTAATAATACATAAGGAAGTGAATATATGCAGTAATTTACAGCAATGCTTCTTCATTCTTTAATAGTCTGGAGACATAAAGACTTGCAATATTTCAGAAGGATTTACCTGATTTGTGAGATACAATAAGCTCAAGAAGTTGGCGTCCTTCTTCTACCACTGCTTCTTTTAAAGCAGAGTGGCTATCTACATTCAACTTAAAACTCTGGGGGAAAAAAAAAAGAAAAAAAAAAAGAGAGAAGAAACCTCAGCATCAGACATTATAGAGGCAGTTATTGTAAAACACATGTACAAAATTACTTGTTTTTTATCAAGAACCACATCCCTATTTACCCAATAGCCAAACTAATTTGTGATACTAAAAGCTACTGATATTTTGGATCTGGGCTCAAAATGTTTCCATCAGATCAGCAAAGTGCATCTGTGTTGAAACAGCTGACATATCTAGACATTCATTAGGTTTTATGAAAAGTCACAACCCGCAGGCTATATCTGGAGTAACTGTGTTCTATAAAATACACTAAATTTATGCTACCACATATGAACTCTGGGGTTTTTTTTCAGATTTCTTTGAAATGTTGGTGATAGCACTATTTATGAAACCATAAAAAAATTACATCATTGAATATATTGGCCTTATGTGCACTCACACAAATCTATTAATACTGTGTTCCTGAGTTAACTCTCATATCCTTTTTCAAAGAACAAATCAGTCTGCCTTAGATCTCAGCATTCTTAATTTGCAAAGAAACTATTTTTCAAACATTTTTTCACTAATATTTTTATTAGTTTACAAAGGATCTGTGCTTTAACAGTCAAAAATATTTTGTCTGTTTTTTTAATTTTATTTTTAAAAATTGCTTTAAAATCTAGTAGCAGAGAGAGGAACTGGAAACATGATATGCCATTTAATACACCAGTGATAACTTGGATAAATTTTTTAATTATTTGCCAGAGCTTCTCATCATACTTGCCTGTAGAAAGAGAAAGAAAACACAATAGAGAAAAGGGTACTTGCTGTATTTAATCATAAATTGTGTGTAACACTTTTTCTCTTTGAAATGTCTATGGAATAAATGGAAATAATACATGACCACTTGGAAAAAAAGAGCTTTTCCGTCTCTTGGAAATGAGTTAACTGGCAGACATGAAAGGAGACTTTGCAAGTGCACATTCATAGCTTCTGTTTTTTATAAGACTTATTTATACTTCTCCAAATGCTAGTGACCATGCTAATACTGGACTAGCAGACACCACAAAATACTCAAAAGCTGTCAATCCTTAGGGAAGCAACTATTTCCTCTCTTTCCGAACTCCTGTAGTCAGGCTGACTGGCATAGCAGAAAATAATATTGCCAGAACTGTAATAAAATGAGGTACTTTTACTGTATTCATCATGGTTGAAAGAGGGATGTTGCTCAGATAGGCTCTTAACAGTCTTTCAGGCAGCATTGTACCTGACAGTGACAGAATGTTTTTGAGAATTCTCCATTCAAATAAAGAGCAAAAAACAGGAATTTTGCTACCTTCAGCATTTTGTCTAGTCCAATTTTCCTTGTACGGACATCTGAATATACTGTTTTGCACCAGCTGTTGAACAACTGGGCCAGCCAAGAAAAGTTAAAAGGGAGGAAGGATGCCTAGTTTATGTCTGTCCCCTTCTTAAATCTAGAGTTTTATGCAACCAAATCCAGAAGTCCTTTTTCCTTCTTAAAACCATGTCTGAACAAGCACTGACAATATTTAATTTACTGTTTACTTAAAACAGGCTTGTACTGAATAGTTTGTAATCATGCACTTCACAGGAAATGCACTGTGCGTGTGTCTCACCCAGCAAAAGAGAAGCTAAAGGACCTGAGAGTAGGTTGTGTAATTTCATATAATTGAAGTCGAGTATAGATGCAGCTGGATTTGGCAGTGTCTCGAGATGATGTGGATGTGTTTGATAGGAAAATTGGAAAAGATGAGGTATTCTTTTTCATTAGGAAAAAAAAAGAGACTTGCTGCCCTAGAAAAGATTCATTTAACATAACACACCAGCTACTACAATACGGCTTGATTTTCAGGTGCACCTATTAACCAGTAATAATGTTAAACTGAAGAAGCAAAATATGATGAATAAAGATGGGGCTAAACTTTTGGGTTTTGACTAGCAATATTCTCCTCGTGCAAAATTCTTGTTTTATGGATAAATTATGCGTGGCACAAATACCATGAACATACATGAAATTTAGCAGAAATAAGCTTTTGTCAGCATAGAGGCATCACGTCATGGTTTAACCCCAGCTACCAACTAAGCACCATGCAGCCTCTTGCTTAGTCCTACCTCAGTGGAACAGAGGAGAGAATCAGAAGGGTAAAAGCTAGAAAATGTGTGGGTTGATATAAAGACAGTAGGGAAAGCAAAAGCCACATGCACAAGCAAAGCAAAATGAGGAATTCATTCACCACTTCCCATGAGCAGGCAGGTGTTCAGCCATCGCCTGAAAAGTAGGGCTTCATTACACATAACAGTTACTTTGGAAGACAAATGCTGTAACTCTAAGAATCCCCCATCTTATTCCTTCTTCCCCCAACTTTCTGTACTGAGCATGATGTCATTTGGTATGGAATATCCATTTGGTCGGCTGGGATCAGCTTTCCTAGCTATGTCCCTTTCCAGCTTCTTGTCCACCCCCAGCCTACTTGCTGGTGGGGTGGTACGAAGAGCAGAAAAAGCCTTGATGCTGTGTAAGCACTGCTCAGCAGTAACTAAAGCATCCCTGTATTATCAACACTGTTTTCAGCACAAATCCAAAACATAGCCCTATAGTAGCTACTATGAAGAAAACTAACTCTCTCCCAGTCAAAACCAGCACACATCAAAAGGAGAGAACCATTCATATAAGTATATATACAAACAGAAGCAAACGAAACTGTCAGTTGATGTAGTGAAGTATGAGTTTTGAATTTAGAATTATATATGTGGTAATTTCCTAAGAAAAATGAATAACTGGACAAGGAACACTGGAAGGAATAATCCTCAACCAATGTTCAAGGTTTCTCATGCCTAAAGGGCTGAAAATGTGACACATGAAAAAGACGAGAGTTGAAGATGTAACAAGTATTACATGTCTATACAATGGAGATATGCAAATTTACACAGCTAAGGATAATATCAGACCAAATATTTGGAATTGAGGAAGACCTTCAAACACAGAGGTCCTCTCCCATCCTGGATATTTCCCTACTGTTTACTTATGGCATTTGGAAAATTGTAACTCTAACAGCGTGTGACCCAGGTACTCTGCTCCCCTCCTTCTCTGATCTTCCCTGATAATGAATGAAGCCTTTGTGTGTGAAGAGAGGAAAGGAGAAGAGGAGGGAAGTCAATTAATCAAAGCCTTTTTTCCAGACACATTTGCAGCTATAGAGAAGTCTAAATATCACATGAGCACGTATACATTATAGAAAATGCATGTGCATTGGCCTGACAGCAGCTTTTTAAACAACACATTAATGTCATCCCTCACACTACAGTGTATTTAATGTAGTTTACGAGCTGCAACAAGCAAAATTTCCTTACGCAAGTTCTCTGCACTTTTCCCAATTACCATGTACCTATATATAACTATCAATTGTTCTTATTTAGCAAGAAAGGAAAAGTGGGGCAGGAATTATGCAGTTTTAAATAAGCTTGCAGAACTGTAAACAGGAATAAAGACTCCAAGGGTGTAAATGCAAAGCCCCAAGAGTGCTATCTTCTGTTGACAGCATGGTAGCAAGGAGCCCAGCCTTCACAAAATGAAGCTGTCCTCTGACTTTCAGGAAACTTAATGGACCTACCAGACAACAATAGTACAGAACCGCCATGAGGAAAAAAAAGCATCCCCTCCTTATCTGTGCTGGACTCTGAATACACTAAAAATATGAGAGTGCTTACCTAGAATATAATAAACTTTCCTTCTCACCTTACTTGTCTTTACAACTGGAGATTAGAAAAAATTGTTGGAAAAAAAAATTTATTTGATGTTCCTCAAAGGATTTATTTTATGGTTGTAGCTACTTATACGTAGGAAACTTCTATTGAGTAGGTATCCTGCACTATGTACATGTTGAGATATCCAATCTTTTGCTATTTATTATATATTTACTATTATATATAACCCTCTGTTCTTAGAAAAACCTTTGCAATTTGGTAATACACAACCTGGGTCTTGACACAGACAATTAGCAAATTTTTTTTTGTTTCCAGAGGCACAGAGGCTTTGTAAAAGCATGATTTACTTTTTTTTAAAGTCATAAGGTATCCAACTAATTGTTTCCAGTGTACTGCCTCTGAAACAGAAACCAGCAACTAGATATCATGTGACCCTACAATGTATACATAAATATAGTTTGGATGACACATCAGTTTACACCTATCACCAGATTAAGAAGTGTATTAAAAGAAATATTTTTTTTTTCTCAGTCAAGCATGTTATTAGCATGTGTGGTGTACTGGGATATACCTGAAAGACAGTTCTCTTGAGGTTCATTTTTGATGTTTTTAAATACCTTTGAGAAAAATATTACTGTTTCTAGGGTGTTTATTTTTTTAGAGCAATGCTGCAGACAATTAAAAATTAACTGATTACCCTAGATTCTATAAATTTAGAATTTGAAAAAGAAAGCTTAATGTAAATTTCCTAATAATATTTTGCATTTTTTGAGAAATCTACAATATTACTGAAATATGGACTTCTATATTTAGCTATAGTTGAATGTATGTTTTGGCTAAGAATGTAGCACTTTTAATTATAACACTCACTGTGACAGATATAATTTAGAGTGAAAATTAGAGTGATGGGAACAGTTTCTGGCAGAAAAGTTATGGGAATCTTTTGACTGAGACAATCACAGAAGGATAACCAATCTCCCACAAATATTATCAGAAATGTTATGTTTTGAGAGGGAGGCAGTTTAAACATGCAGTAAAGCTCTAAGAAAATGAAACAAGTGTTTTACTTATTTGTTAAATATATTCTATATACCAATAACTGCCAAGAAATATATTATTATGAAAATTCAATTTTAATTTTTTAAATTAACACATTTCATTTGTCTCAAAAGAAATATGACAAAACAGATATTGAAAATTTATTCTTACATGCTTAATACTCAGCTACTTTTGCAAGTCCATTGGTCCTGGCACAGTTACCTTCCAATAACTTGCTATGACAAAAC